TTGAGTCTTAAAGCTGCCAGCCACGCTAGTTTCCGATCCTCCTTCCGCGGCATAGAGTGCAGTGCGTAGGGCGGTGGGCACGGACAGGCCTTTCTAAGTTGTTGATGCTCAAGGCAAAATGTTTCTAATGCGTTTTTCAGTTTTCTTGAATTATTGTGGCAGCCGACGACAGCACACGTTGAACCTGAGCTTATCTTCGAACAGGTAAAGCCACTTATTACCGCAGAAAGTAACGGATTTTGTTGTTAGCAACGACTGAACGCTGGGTCTCGCTTTGAGTAACCGGAAGTATAAAACCGGACAACGGAAGTAGTGGTCTGTCATGGCAGCCTACGTACGCTCTTACAGAAACCTGTGGATAGGGATGGGGAGGTTATTCCATAGATCGAGTGCAGCCAAGGCAAACGCGCGGTCACCTCTAGTCTTCAGCCGGGATCTCGGCAGCATCAAGAGTGACTGGGAAGATGATCTTAGTGCTCTAGTAGGGGTGTATAATCTAAGTAGCTCAATGAGGTACAATGAGAGAACCTGAAAAGACATGGAAAAGACATGGAAATAAATGAATAACTAATGTAATAATTAGTAATTAATTGTATGACAATGTTAACCATTCTTAAAACAATTACACATGAGTTTTTTAACATCAACAAAGTTTAAATGAAAAAATAACTGATTATTTGATATTTTGGAAAACAAATTTTAAAGTAAAACTAGTATTTCTAACTGAGCTATGAAAGCATGAATAAATAAAATGAGTGGAAAATATTTACGGAAGAAATTGAAATCTCAATAAAAACAATTTTTAAAAATTTGAATTCAGAATTTAAAAAAAAACCGATTGGTTTTTTTTGAAGTTATTTAATTTCCTTTTTCAATTATTTATTAGATTTGCTTTGTCATGCTGATACTCCACACATATGCTTCTAAGTTTTAGCTCATATAATGACCAATTTACACCATTATTGCTTCTTTGACTTAAAATAAATAAGTAAATAAATAAATAAGATAATTAAAAAAAATATAAAAAAAACACAGTTTAATCTGCTCTTTCTTTTGTCAGATGCTCAGATAAGATTAGTTAATCCAGATAAGTCTGGGTCAGCTCGTTGCTCTGGAAGAGTTGAAATCTATCACAACAACAGCTGGGGAACAGTCTGTGATGATGTCTGGGACATAAATGATGCTCAGGTGGTCTGCAGACAGTTAGGCTGTGGACCAGCACTGGAGGCCCCCCGATCAGATCACTTTGGTGAAGGAAAAGGACAAATCTGGCTGGATGATGTGTCCTGTTCAGGAAGTGAAAGTTCTCTAACTGAGTGTCAACACAGAGGATTTGGTTTACACAACTGTAGACATCATGAGGATGCTGGTGTCATCTGTTTAGGTGAGATGCTTTTTGTCTCATACACAGTATTCAATAACAAAATGGTCCATGCAGCTGTAATCAGGACAGAAATCTGTGTGTTAATTATCACAATGTATACAGTGTTGCTTTTTAGCTTCACTTCCTGTTCTTTTCTCTTGTTTTTTGTTCATGTGTTAATTTTCATCTATGGAAGCATGCATCTCATTCCCAATCACTGTGTGTGTATTTATACTTTATTCTCCCCAAAGGGAAGGAGTTTGTAATTGTTTCTCTGTGTATTTGTTAGCAGTCAGCGTCCACATTACAAGATATCTTATTAGAATTTTGTGTGATGGTAGATACCAATGACAGCTCGAGCTGTTTACTAGTTACTAGTTATTTCTTGCTTTATTTCCTCACTGTGCCTCTGCTCTCCTGTCTGTGTCATGATGTTCAGTGTTAGTTATTTCTGCTTGCTTATTTTATTATTTTTCAGACAAGTATATCTCACACAGATGATAGAGTAGTTGTATTCATGAAAATTCACTAAATATTACAATCATACTTGAGTATATCCTTTATACTTTTTGTGCTTAGAAATCAGATTAGCTGGGTATCAGCCTGCTCGTTGCTCTCCAAGAGTTGAAATTTATCGCAACAACAGCTGGGGAACAGTCTGTGATGATAACTGGGACATAAATTATGCTGAGGTGGTCTGCAGAGAGTTAGACTGTGGACTGGCACAGGATTCCATAATAATAACGAAGGTCAATCAAATGGACCAATTCAGCAGGGCCGTGAGGATCCACTTGGTAAAGTAAATCCGTTGGGCATCTTTCTTGGCCTTCAGACAATAATTCTGATGGTTAAAGAACCAAATGGGACAGGCAAAAAAAAGAAAAAAGAAAAAAAGAATGATCCTCCCGGCGGTAACGCACGTTCCAGCCTTGTATTCCAGCCCTAACCATAACCTTATCCCTAACCTTAACCACAACCTTAATGGTCTTAGATAGTGTTTTCCAAAGTGATTCATGGTGAGAAAGTAAAATAAATGTACATGTGTAGATTCAGTCCAAACGGTTCTCATGTTTCCTACTGTTTCCGAACACTTAACATAGAGACATGTCAGGTGCCCGAAAGCATAACATACCGACTATTTGTCACATAGCGTAACATATTATGCTTTGGGGATGAGAACGTGTGGTTCACACATACATTTCTAAGTTTTAGCTCATTTAGTGACACCTTTACACAAAATGCTTCTTTAACTTAAAATAAAATAAAATAACAAACACACAGTTTAATCTGCTCTCTCTTTTGTCAGATGCTCAGATAAGATTAGTTAATCCTGATAAGTCTGAGTCAGCTCGTTGCTCTGGAAGAGTTGAAATCTCCTACAACAACAGCTGGGGAACAGTCTGTGATGATGACTGGGACATGAATGATGCTGAGGTGGTCTGCAGACAGTTAGGCTGTGGAACTGCTCTGAATGCCACTCGATCAGCTCAGTTTGGTGAAGGAACAGGACAAATCTGGCTTGATCATGTGGAGTGTTCAGGAAGTGAGAGATCTCTAACTGAGTGTCTACACAGAAGATTTGGTTCACACAACTGTAGACATCATGAGGATGCTGGTGTGATCTGTTCAGGTGAGATGTTTTTTGTTTCATACACAGTATTCAGTAACAAAATGGTCCATGCAGCTGTAATCAGGACAGAAATCTGTATGTTAATTATTATAATGTATACAGTGTTGCTTTTTAGCTTCACTTCCTGTTCTTTTCCCTCTTTTGTGTTAATCTTTGTTTATTTTCGTCTATAGAAGCATGCATCTCATTCCCAATCACTGTCTGTGTGTCTATACTTTATTCTCCCCCAAAGGGAAGGAGTTTGTAATTGTTTCTCTGTCTGTTTGTTAGCAGTCAGCGTCCACAGTTTAAAAGACATTGTTTTTTAAAATTTGTGTGATGGTAGATAGATACCAATGACAGCTCGAGCTTTTTTCATTTTTGTAAAAATCAGTTCGAGGTCACACCTAATGTGAAAATCAGTAAAAACATTATATTACCTACAATTTTTTTATGTCTTCAAACTTCACACCAATACACTAGGCCTTTGGGATCATGAGTATCTAGGTTAGCTAAGCACTTGAGCTTGACCTTCACTGTTCGAGTCCAAGGTCAAAGTTGACCTAGAAAAAAATGTCCAGTAACCACATCAAGTAATATATCATATGAAAAGGACTAAAGAGAGCTGTTACCGCATCGTTGTGATGCCATAACTGGCTGACATATTGTAATAAAGGCAGGCTGACATCAACAAGGTGTGATAAAAATGTTTCGGCACTTGTCCATCAGGGGAGATATGCTCAGATCTTTTGCAACAGCCAATGAAGGCTCACTTTTTGAGTTTGTTCTGTCTCAGTGTCTTACATTTGGATGCTCAGTTGACGTAGTTGACAGTGTTCAGATGTTGTCATTTGTTTCTTGTTTCTTCAAATTACTGAGTCAGCACAGAGGATTTGGAAGAAACTACTGTGGACATTATTGTGATGCTGGTGTCATCTGTTTAGGTACATCTTTCATTTTCAAAGCCATGTTCTTATAATAGATTAGACTCCAATTTTGCTTCATAATCACCTGCACAAATAATGAATGACAATTGCTATCCCTAGCTTCATAACTCAGTAACAGGAGAAAAAAGTTGGGAAACAAAAGGCGACTCACCCCTTCGGCTTCAGCCTATGCACACATAAGCACTGAACCTATTTACACAAATCTGGCGGCTCTCAAAGAGGGCATGCTCACACATACACAGAGAACACGAAAAGTTTGGAAGCCAGGGCTGGGTCTGAGTCAGCTGTCAATCTGATCACTCTCGCACTCCCTCGCTTCTCTCTCTCTCCTCTCTCGGCAGCTGTTGGAGTGGCTTTAAACCCAGTCACATGATACATGAACCAATCAGCAGCCATTGCTCTTCCTCAGAGAAAATATCCTGCAGAGGTTCTTAAAACACAGTACATAAACACACAGGAACAGCTAACACAGACTTCTTATGGCCACGGGCCGTAGCACCCACACCTGTTAAGACAGTGAAAATTGTGGGTATAAAATGTTAATTCCTTCGCAGCACAATGAATACTTTTGTTGAATCTTTCAAAATCAAGCAGAAACTCACTTTAAGACCATTTAGATCATACAACTGTGACTAAACTGCTGAAATAACAAAATATTGTTTGACTGTCTAAAGATTCCCAAACTTATCTGTACGTAGTTCATCAGTGGCTGCTGTTCAGTCTGAAGCAATGTGGCCACCATATTGGTCAGATGGAGTCACGCCTCTTAAATGCTGCGTGTATGGAATGTCTAAGTGTGATGTAGTAAGGTTGTGGGTGGGTGGGTTGACTTCTACACGCAATTCACTGGCAGCCCATTGTTTCATAATCTGTTCATGTTAACATGGATGATTCATGAGGAGGTTTTTCACATAATTTGTTTTAAGTTTTTTAAAACCAGCGATGTTTGTTTTATGGTGACTGATCTCTTTCCACAGATCCAATAATTCAAATCCTGAGATGTGTTTTCCTGCCACTGATTCTGCTTTTGGAGAACATTGCCCTTCATTTCTACTATAAGGTACATCAGAGTAAATAAAAGCATGTATGAAACTGAGTGGTAGCTGAGAAGTGTAGGAACAGTAACATGCATTGTGTCCCGTCTCTCCAGGTCATCAAAAAGCAGAAATCAGACAAAAAGGAGAACGATGAGACGGATGTTTCCAGAGCTGAAGAAGTGGAGGCCGACGAGGAAGCAGTCCAAGAAATAGAATAGAATCGAAACATATAGAAACAAACACACAAGTCTAAACTTTTGTTGGAATTTAGATTAAAGTTGTTTAAATATTGTTTAATTATGTTTATGTTTTAAATGTCTGCCACATTACTGCAGCGGCTCTATTTAACCTGCCTTTCCTCTCCAGTATAAACTCTGCATGACTGTGACTTAAGTTTGAAAATAATCCTTCATCCTCTCCAGTCCTCACTTTCTTACATCTTCCTCCATCTCTGCCAGTGAAGTTTTCACACATTAAGACTTTTACTTCTCACTAAACTGTATCTTTGGCTAACAGACAGAATGTGTGTCAATCTGCAAATTAACATGTTTTTATGTTTGGTGATATTTTTGAAGTCTTTGAATTCATCTGCCATTTAGTTCCTGCATTTACAGCATCCTATTCTGTGGAACTAGCTAGATGTTTCAATATTGTGATTGCAACTTTACTGACAGCTGCAGCATGGATGTATGACAGTGATGAGAAGGAGAAATACAGGCAGGGGCCAGTGGGACCCCCTCAGCCTCCTGGTAGATACACCTGTGGTATTGTTATGACCCAGAGCTAAACATATCACACACACACCACTGCTTTACCTGGATCAATATCAAAGTATGACGTGTCCAAGTCTGCATGGCAGGGTGACCACAATACTACATCAGGCTTTTATGGCTGGGTGGCCAAGGGGTGACTTAACTGTGTCTGTGACATCACCAACAATGCCAATTGTTGGTGACAATGCTGTCATTTTTCTGTAAAGCAAATTTACCTTGCCTTTGGGTATAAATAAAGTTACCTTGACCTTGACCTTGACAACAGCTTTCAGCTGGCTTATCTAAACATGGTGTGCAGTGTGACCATACAATACTGGACAAGTGGAGGACAAGGGAAGATGTTGCGGGAGTCAGAAACTACAGCAGATGAACAGTTTCTGAAAGTCATGTCAGTAAGAAACAGGAAAGCATCCAATAAACTTGACACAGGACCTGAGAGACGCAATTGACTCTTCAGTTGATCCATCTACTGTTTGATCAGAAGAAGTGGTCCCAGTGGAAGAGTGTCATGGTCTTGGGTCATGGACTCAGAGGTTTGAGTTTTAGGACTTCTTGTTTGTTTACTTTTTATGTTTTGTTTTTGTTTCTCCTCCAGCATTTTAAAAAGTACAGATTACCTCTTCTTCTGGAACTTCTTGGTATTTTCCTTTTGAATTTATGGACTTTGATTTGTAGACCTTCAGCCACATGGAATAAAGCTAGTTTTCAGTTGAATCTGTTGCTTGTTTCTGCCCATGTATTTGGGTTATTTTCCATGCAAAGTATGAGAGTGGGATGCTGTCAAGAAACACTTCTTAAGAAGGGGAAACAAGGAGGAAAGGCTGCCAAATTACACAAGAACTGAATTGAGAATCAGAGACAACTGATGTTATAAGGTTAGGGCATATTGCAACAATATATTGGAAGAGAACAGAACAAAATGAAGTAAAAGGACTTGTTTGTGCTTTGAATCACTTACCAAGAAGCCTGGAGAAGTATTTCTGAAGACTTCTAAAGAAATTGGAAGAAAGTTGCCTAAGAGAGTTCAGGCTGTTTTAATCAACAAAGTTCATCATACCAAATATTGACTTTCATTCATGTTAGGATTGTACAAACTTTCTTTGCGTCATGTATTGTGTTTGTATAAAGAAAAGAAGTCACTCCTTTAACGCCCTTTACTTTCTTGGGATCTGATCACTTCAGGCTGGAGGAGTTCGTGGGAACCCTTAAACCTCCTGACAGATTTTATCAGCCCTGTCTTTGACTCCGTCCTTGTGGCTCACAAATCCTGGTGGGACATATATGGTGTTTTCATTCCACAACCATCTGCAAAGGAAAGAAATCAAGGAAAATATACTGAGTTCTGAGAACATGTCAGACACCACTGATCCAAGATGTGGCTGTATTGTGGTGACTAATTCTGACACAGTATAGGATCAGTGAAATTTATCACATCATGTTCCCACTGAACAACATCTTTTGTTGGACTTCCTGTATTTTCCTGCTGCACTGCTACTGGTGTAAAATGGCAAAGGTACGCCCCCTGCTGTTCAGGATCAGCACTGAGAACAGGATGGTAGAGAATTTTATTTCCTATTAGTACAATAAATACTTTTTTTATTATCTGGATAAAGAAAGTTTATTAACTTTATGACTGCTCATCACTGCTTTTTCTACCTCACAAAGTTTAGTGTCTGCCTGCTGGGCTGGGGTCGACATTCACTCAGCTTTAACTCTGGGTTATTGGGGTGGGCTGAACCACCATACCATCCAGAACGATCCTGTATTGTGTTGGTAACCAGTGTATTAGAAATAAAACAGGATAGATGTGTTGTTGCCTTTTGAACCGAGAGACCTGAGTTCTTCCAGCCATAAGCTTCAGGTCAAAGTGTTGGACCAGCATAAATATTATGCCACCCATGGTGTCCCTTACATTTTATCAAGGGCATAGATTTGGCATGGACGGAAGGGACATGTCCCACACCAATAACCAGCGATTATTGAATTGTCCCCACCAATATTTTGATCTCTTCGAGTAAAGAAAAACAAACCGATAGAAAGAAAAAAAAAAAAGATCTGTCAACGTCTCATTCACTTAGCAGCAGGGCCGTGCAGAGACGTTTAAAGGGCCGGTTGCTCAAAGTTAAAAAGGGGCACATTGAACCAGGCTGAATAACAACAACACACATTCATCAAGAATCTAATATGGGATTGCATCATACTATATCACTATTGTGAGGTGGCGACAAGGCAAAGCAAACGTAGCCTATGTTTTACCTGATGGGTACAATGTAGTAATGGTAAAGTTTTATTCTTTTTACTGAATCGAGTTTTAATGAGTCACTCACCAAAGTGAATCGGATTTTTTGAGTTATTTGATTCACTGAGTCAGTCGACCAGAGAGTGCAAAATATGTACATTTTCACTCTTTTCATGGAAATCCTACTGCTAAGATGAATGATTCTAAAAGAAAACAACTATTTTTGTCACGGCTGGCGGAGGGAGCCGTGTGGTGTGGAGGAAAAGGAGGACCCAAGATGCAGCAAACTGATGATACGAGTGATGTTTTATTTACAAAGGTGGTGGTGGCAAAAACAGGCAACG